AAAAATTTCTTAAACTTACCCCACTGAAATTTTCTTAAAATATAGAGTATACTAATATAATTTTAAACCTTTGAAAGCTAACTTTTGACATCTCTTTTTCACGCCTGTTTTTTTTTTTTCCTTAAGCCTTCGTCTTTTTTGTCCAGACTTCCATTCCAGTCCAGACATCCACCCGACAACCCCTCTTATTTCTTTTATTTAGTTTCTTTGTTAGTTCTTTTGCTATATTCATCAATAAATCACCCTATTTGATTCAATCATTGTGCAAATCAAATTTGAAGAAACCCTAGAAGATTATGTTGAAGTTAAGGAGAGATAATTCATTAATCAAATTTTTTGATAGTAGTATTAACACTAATCTAAAATCAGATTTTTTATATTAGAAAATTAGTTTAACTCTTGTAGAATTGATGGTTGTTTGATGTGTTATTTATGGACTCATGCAGGTTTTTTTTTGGTTTCATCTTGGGTCACCACTCAACTATTTTGAATTTTTATTAAAGCATATTTTCAGATTTACTATCTGAGATTCTTGGTTAGTGCTATTTTTCTTCCCTAAGATTAAATTGCTTTAATTTATTTTTTGAAATTATAGTTTGGATTTATGGATTATATTTTGATTATGTGTAATCTATTATCTCATTTGTTACGAATTTAATGACAAACTCTTAAACTTGAATCTAATTAGACAAATTTATTTTTCAATCAGCTATGAATAAGTTGCCCACAATGAGACAAGATCCTGTCTCCGCCCCTGTCGACACACATGACATAGTTCGACCAATCATCTCATGCGAAAAAAGTCCATAAGAGAAATTTGACACGTAAGTGTTTCATTAATTGGTATTTAAATAAACAACACATTAAATGTCACTAGCTTAACACATATTGCAGGGTTGATTTTGGTATATACATTTGCTACATTATGAAAAAAATTGCAAAAGGAGAGGAAATATAAGAGAAGTTAACACACAAACAAGCAAAAGACTTTCAAAGAGAAATGTTGTCAATGTTCCTGAATCAACGAAATTCCTGGATAGAAGATGATTTCAAACAACAAGAATTGAAAGGCAAATTTCAAGACAAATGATTGTTTATTCAAACTATAATTGGGCATATACAAAGTAAATGTGATTAGTGAATCATGAATATAATGTTTAATTTTATTTACATTCGATCTTGTTATCCTTGATGATAATTTAATACACTCATTTAAATACAGGGTGTACCATTGTGACATTGAGACTGTAATACTGTGACATTACACTAGACCACTGTGACATTGGGGCTATACCACTGTGACAATGAGGTTGTACCATTGTGACACTGGGGTTGTACCACTATGACATTGGGCTGCACCATCTATGTCACAATGGTTATAAAAATACATATACATGGGTGTGCCACTGTGGGTGTTATAACATGACATCAATGTCTACTGTATACACATAACATATGCAGGTTTTGACACATGAAATTGTGACCAGGTGAGTGACACAATGTGTGCATCACAATATGGCAGCATTGTCACATTGTATATAGACACAATATGTAGAGTTTTTCACATGGATAGACTCACACTGGTATTCCAATGTCCCATTGCATATACACTTTATATAAAGATTCAAACACACACTGTGATTATCATAGTGTGAAATCCACTGTATGGTGTTTGGAAATGGAGTGTGACATTGGTGTCACATTGCTTGTAAAAATACATAACCAAATGTAACACTGCATAAACAAATAAGTATGCAAGATTTGATTGATTATATCATCACATTGTGAATTGAAAGTAATGTTATCAGAACCGGACCGGTCATCGAACTGGTTAGGAGACTGAGTCAATGGTTCACTTGTTCAACTAGTCGAACCGGTCATATATAATAATTATAAAATATAATAATTTAGCTAAAAATATAAAATATGTTTAAAATACATACAATTTGTCATAAAATTAATGAATTTAAGTGAAAGAAACACCTATGCCAAATATCAAAGTTGAATTTTAAAGCTCCAATCTAAGTACATAACAGAAAAATCACTTCAAGTCCAAACCCCAAACCAGAGTCCCTACTGAAGTTAAAAGTTTATATAAGAACACATCATCACAAATAGACAATAACTATTCCCTTGTGAATCCTTATTTAACAGACGAACAATGATAAAAGTATCCAAATTGAAAATAAGAAGTATGATAAAAGTATCCAAACACAAATACCCTAAGTCTTGTATTACTTTATTTAACTAAGCGAAAATCTAATTCATTTAACTCAATCAGTTCCCACGGTTGCAATTTAAACAACATGAATGAAGTGTTTTGCCAAACAATTATAAACTTGTAGGCTGTAACAAACTCCAACAACCAACCATTCGATGAGACCCAATCAATATATGGAAAAAACAACTTGAAAGAAACTCAATTGAATATTTTATGACTACCCATTAGCTATGGAACATCAATGATCCCTTATGACTGCAGTTCGATAAACAACCAAATTAGCACTAAAGATCAAAATGCAACTTTAAAGTTTAAACAGAAACAACATAATCACAAACAGAGATCATTAATATGGACTATTAACATATCAAGAACACAATTAGTAATTCGAAATCAAATTTCTATCATAACAATAATTAACAAATAACCTTAATAAAAAACATGAACTATTTCTCCAAATCAAACTACTCTATAAACCATGACTTTAAATGAAAATCACATAGCCCAAAAAAAACTTAATATCAAATTTAAAATCTTTCTAGATTAAACCCAAATTAAGAAAATCTTGCCTGAGTTTGCTGGTCGATGATCGCAGTGGCTGGTTGATCGTAGTGGCTAATCGATCGCAGTCACCTGAGTTCGCTAGAGTCACCTGGCTGCTGGCCTCTGATCGGTGATCGCAGTCGCCTAGTCGCTGGAGCCTTGGTGGTGGTCGTTGGAGCCTGGTCGCAGTCGCTTGGATTGCAGTTCTGCGATTTAGGGCAATAAAAGATCTAGAAGCTTGAGATTTTAATTTTATGTAATTTAATTTTTGATTTGGCATTAAACCGTCTAATTTTTATAAAATTCGCCGGTTCACAGTTTTTTACAAACCGACTGATTTTTTGATTTTTCGTCAGTTCTCTTCCTTAAGCGATCTAACTATGGAACCTGACCGGTTAAGGTCCTGGTTCACGGTTGAACCAGTCGGACTGGCAGGTTCGATTTTGATAACGTTGATTGAAAGTCACACTGCATGTACACATGCAACTTGTGGTTTGACAAAGTGTGTTGTCACAGTGTTACTCTAACATTGCGATAACACTACTTCATTTATCGCATAGTGGCAGACATGTTAATAGTCTGACATCAAATGTCGAAAAACCAATTTCTTTATTTCTTTGACACAAATCATACAATTTATCAATGAAAACTAAATTTTAAAAACCACCAACGACAAATGTCATTAAGATCTCAAACAAAAAGAGCACAATGGTGCATTACAGTTTTTCTTGTTCTGGCTACCCATACGCCCATAACGACCACATCGAATTTATCGAATGAGTTCACCCCTTGACCTGATTCTACGCTTTTTCGGACATCCAGGTTGAGTCTTAGATGATGGCAACAATATATGAACTGTTTCATGCGAAACATCTGGACGATCAAGTGTCGGAATTGGGTAAATTATATCCACATATGACTTCCTATATGTGCTCGAAGAACTTTCTCGTTATTTCGACTATAGCGAGGTAGCAAATCATCATCTTGATTATGCACGTCTTTAAGTAAATTATTGTGAACATTAATGTGTAACTCATCATTAAGGAGAAATATCCTCACAACAATATGGTTGATGTTAAGAGAACGTAACATTTCAAACAGTCTTCATGTATTCGTCATTTTTCAAAATACAATTTGGAAGGTCAGGAATTGAATATGACAAACCTATTGACAAATTCCGTAATAACTCCCATGTATCATACACTTGACTTACAACATTTTCAAACAGTGAAGGCCTATAAACTTGGATCACTGACCATTTGTTACCAAATCGGCATAAAAACAAAATCGTATACTCCACTGAAATTCCTGGCAAAAGGAAATTTCAAAAAATCATAACAACGTAACAAGAGATACAATGAAAGTATGCAACAGCACCCCAACAAGAAAACACACTCCCAAAATTGCAACTCATATACACACTCAAAAACAGAACCCATGCAAAAAAATAAACACCAAAACACCCTATTGTATTAAAGGTGAAAACAACGATTCCTCATTACAATTTAAAAAAAAATTCAACAAAAAAATTTGTTCAAAAATAAAAAAAACTATCCAGGACATACCTGATGTTCTTTATCTACTACAACAACATAGATACTTTTGAGTTATCCCTAAACCAACAATCTAATGAATATTTTGTTATTGTTTTTCTAATTGGATAACATGAAAATCAAACAGGAATCGATTATGGGTACTGATGAGAGATCAAAAGTTGTTTACGACGTGAATAACAAAGTAACCGCTGAATAAAAGGAGTGGTGTTTGCAGAATTTTCAGTCGTTGAAATGAAATAGAAAGGTGTAATTCAAAATTCAAAAGTGGTGTTCCAAAAAACATAGAAAATTGAATCTCACAATTAACTACCTAAATTATCTTCCATAAATAAAGGAAAAGAGATTTTATGTAAATGAATATCTTAAAAAAAGCCAAAGTTTATCTGTTCACAAAACATTTATACAAAAAAAATTTATACACAGAAAATATATATTGAAGTATTTTCTCACAATTTGCCCTTTTTTGAACAGAATCTAGGGCCTCGCTCGATGGGCAGCCCATTGAAGACATGGTTTTCCGGCCACTCAATAGCCCACCATGGACGTTGACCCGGTCCGACCCGTTTCTAGCACCTTGCTTTGCCCTAACGAAATAAAGCATGGGTACACAAACCCTAGCCTGCCTCTCCCTATCTCTCTGGTGTCAGCAGGCGCGGCGTTGAGCAGCAGCAGCAGCAGCAATGGTACTTTCGCCGATGAACCTTACAACGCCTTCACCATTTCTTTCTCTAGCTCTCATTCGATCATAAACTGTTGTTTGGTAATTTTCATATGATAGGGTATCGATCTGGTCGCCGGAGGTAAGGTCAAGAAGACGAAACGAACTGCTCCCAAATCTGATGATATTTACCTCAAGCTCCTTGTCAAGGTCTTTCCCACCTCCATTTCTTTCTCTTCCCACATCTATGTACATCTTTTTTTTTTGTTTGTATGTTTAGTGGTCTGTATACTCGGCAGTGATTTGAAGATTGTGGTGTTTGTTTGTGTGATCAGTTGTACCGGTTTCTCGTTCGGAGAACTGGAGGAAGCAAGTTCAATGCTGTGATATTGAAGCGGCTCTTCATGAGCAAGATCAACAAGCCCGCCCTCTCTGTGTCCCGCTTGATTCGTTTCATGCAGGCAAAGGTAACCTGTTCTCTCTGTGTATGTGTGTGTGTATATATATACACACACATATAATTTATTTGTTTAGAAAAGAGAACAACGGAAAATAGTACCAGAGGAATGCAGCAATATCTCTATTGTGTGGTGTTATCAATTTTTAAAAAATTGGAGAATCTCATCTAAAGTAAACTTGAGCCAGTTGTAATGGGGAAATTAGTTGATTATTGACCTCTTTGGTTGCATAAATGATGAAAATCGATTTTTTATCTTGATGTGGGAGAGACTCTCGAGGAAAAGGGAAATGGCATCCATATTTAAAAATATTTGCTTAGTTTACAATGAATTAAGACTTCTTATTTTAGCCTTTTGTGTCCGGTAATTTAGTTTGAATTGATTTGTTAGTTCATTGTCAAACAGGAGGACAAGATTGCGGTTGTTGTTGGGACAGTCACAGATGATATTCGAGTCTATGAAGTTCCGCCTCTGAAGGTCACAGCTCTAAGGTTCACGGAGAGAGCAAGGGCCAGAATTGAGAAGGCTGGTGGAGAATGCTTGACTTTTGATCAGCTGGCTCTTAGAGCTCCTCTTGGTCAGAACACGGTATGCATTTTTTAATCATGGCTGCATTATGGCATTTTCTCAATGTATCGTAAAATTTGAAGAGTTTGTTCAGCTGAATCATTGAACTCCAGGAGTAAACTAAGTCATCATTTTTTTTTTCTTTTTCTTCTTCAGATATTGTGTCCATTGCATTCTTGTAGCTGGCCTTGTGTGGTAACACACAATTGTTGATAGATGAAAATTTGTTGTAACAGATCATTGTTTGGCATACTATTCTTTTTGGCTCAAGCTGTTGTTTAAGTATGTCATGGTTTTTAGAATAATTATCAAATGGCATTCATATATCAAGTTTGAATTTGATAATTCTTTTTTTGGTTATTGTTAGAAGGAAAACTTTTATTGATTTGTATCCTGGAAATCAAAATGAGGAACAAGTAGAATCTGTTTCCAATGTAAAAAAGAGTTCCAAATATTATTTTTTTCATGTCTATTGTTCAATAATGATGCTTATATAAGCTGATATATTGGTATGCACAGTTTCAGTTATTTATCTTGGAAATATTTTATGTTTCACTGTAATTGTAATTTTACTCAATAGTCTAATGCTGAAGGGTTAATTTTCCATGCTCTGCATTAACAACATTCTTTTTTCTGTATTCATTATGGAAAACTAGCAAAAGATAGTCTTCAAATGTTTTGACATAATCTTCAATAAAACCCTGTAAATGATTTTTTCCCTGTTGTTCTGTGAATGTTTGGAAGAATAGTTGTAGCCTGTCTTAGTTGCCAAAAATAGTTCAAATGTGAGATTAGGTGATGTATGAGTTGCAGCTTTGCAGGTGTCTATCATGCATTTTCTTGGTGTAAATAGGAAACCTGGATGTGGTAGAATATCAGTAAATATTGCTTATCATGTGGAACATGATGTGTCTTAAATTAGTTTGCATGTTTTATGTCTTCGTTTCTGTAAATCAAATAGTTATAATGGTAGCTGTGAGTGTGCTATTTTTTTCATTCTTGGTTTACTATGTTGGGTGTAGTATCATAGCAAGGATTTTAGATCCTTCATTTAATATTATTTCTTCTTAGGCTTCACATGGTTTTCTGTTTTTGTAACCTTTCTCCGGCAGAACTGTGCTTGAGCAATACAAATGCTTGTGAAATTTCCAAATTCATTTGCTTTTTTACCAAAGTATTCTTGGCCACTGTAGGAGTCGGTTTGATTAGTATTCTTGTCACCAGGGCTGATCACCACTCAGAATTCTTTTGTTGTGTCCGATATGGATTATAATGTTGATTATTTTTGTAGTACAAAAGAATTATTTTCTCTAATAAGGGCGTTATTGGAGTAGTAGTGTGAGGAAATTGGTTTAGTCATGCCGATCTATCTGGCCTTGTGCTGCAGGTGCTGCTTAGAGGACCGAAGAATGCTCGTGAAGCAGTGAAGCACTTTGGTAAGGCTCCTGGTGTGCCTCACAGCCACACTAAGCCCTATGTGCGTTCAAAGGGAAGGAAATTTGAGAGGGCTAGGGGAAGAAGAAACAGCAGAGGCTTCAGGGTTTGAGTTGTCAATGATGCTTAGGAGGCAGACGGATCCTCTAAACTCTTTATTCAAGGTTTTCTCTATCTGTTTGTTATTATCCCATACCATTTTTGTTTTTGATCTTTCCGTCCTTTGGTTTGACATTATGGTCAGTTCTTTAGCAGCATTTTCTCCCTCTGGATAATTTGGTCTGTCAGAGCTTGAAATTACATGAATGCATACATTTGAATTTTGAATGTGCTCTGGTTCCATTTTTTGAACTTGATACTGTTGCCCCAATTGAGTAATGTGCCTAAAATATGACATGTATTTGAGATGTGTTGATGTTGGATTATAAGACAGATTGGGCTTGTGCTCCTTGGACTGAAATTTCCCATTTGCTTCATGGAATGGTCCTTCACATATTGCCGCACTCGATGATTATATATCTGTAGATGGGTTTGGCTAGGTTGCCAGAATTAGTATGATGCTAGGGACTCCTTTCTTGCATGGCTGGCTAAAAAGGATTTGACTACGGCACCAAATCAAAAGGGATATTGGTTCATTTACAATTTTTTGGAAGTTATACCTTAATTGAAGTTACAAAAAAAAAAGTTATCTTTTGGAACCGTGGTCGAATCTTTCTAAAGATGGCAGTTATTTGCCGGTGAAGTTTTGCAAGTAGAGGAGATGGAAATGGATGCTGCTGTGATTTTAAGTATGGGGAGGGGGTTTATGTCTTAGTAATCCCACGGACTATTTCAAGAAGGAACAAATAGTGATGACTGGTAGTTGGGAGGATCACCTGCAGAAATGGAGCATACTATCTCTCACACACCTACTAACTCAACCCCACCACATCCTTAATAAAGTGATAAATGGCAACATCCGGTGGGCCATTGGGTTCATAAGGTTACCGTATCATATGTAGGTCCGTAGGGAGTCGTTTTTGGCTTAGTTGCTATCTGAAAATGATGTGGGTTTGTTTTTTTTTTTTTTTCAGTTCGATGCTCAAGAGTATTCATGCTAATTTGCTTGTATCTTGATTAATTTTTTTTTAAATCTAATTGAAGACAAATTTTTCATGTCTTTATCAAGATTTAAAATTAGGACGCATAAATTTATAGCTCGTTTATATTATTATTATTTGAATTATTTATAAGGTCTCGTCTAAATGAAGTAATCTTAATTGAGAATGGGTATCTTATTCTAAGTAAAGTAAAGTGATACATGAATTTTAAAAATCATAGCAATCTTTTATTTATTGTTTGGTATGGTCAATCGTCTAGCTTAAGATTTGATATCTATTTCATTAATTTTTTTAGTAAAAAAAATGATTTAAGGAAGATAATTGGACTTTAACAACAAATTAAATTTTGGGAAAGATTTTGAATTTGAATTTTTTTTTCTTTTTTTAGAATATCCAGAAATTACCAGTTGGGTTTAAAATTTTCACTATTATTGAGAATTTGATTCCAATAATAATTTTATTTTTGATATAAATTCCATTAATTACCCAATTATAATTATTATATTTTTTGGTTTCTTTGAGGATAGTGGATTCCTTTTTGTTTTTATCCGGTTGAATTTTTCATTGAATGGCCAAGTGCACCATTCATCACAATGATGCAACTTTAAGTTCTATCAGGTCCTGCCAATGAGCAGGGACGGATGGTACAATTCAGGGGAGGGGTTCGTCTGCAAAAATATGAATAATTCTGCCAACACTTATAATTATGTATAATTTCTAGAATTGTCGGGGTGACTAGTCAACCGATCGGAGTTGAAAATGAGAAAAAAATATCAGGTGTAATGGTGGGACATATAATTATTATCATGCGAATTTCTATAATTACGATAATTTGATAAAATAAAAATTACTCTTCCACACTTGGAACACACAATAAAATCTTAGTTTCGATTCCGTAGGTGGTTGACCTATTTCGCGAGAGACAATGGGCTTATTTTGGATCCGGCTAAAAACTGCAGGTTTTTTTTTTTTTTAGGGAAAATAAGTTTGGTCTGTTTTGACCAAAAAGTAACTTTTATTTATACCAAGAAAAAGTTAAGAAATAGAATTTATCTAAAAATTTTCAAGAAAAAATTAATTTTTTTGAAAACACGGTTTCAAACAATTCTAAAATTATTTTAATTTTAATTTTTTATTTCACTTTTCAAATTTTTATTTCGCACCAAATAAATTAATTCCAAACATATTCAATATTATTTGGTTATGTGAAATCACGCAAATCTTCGGATACTGGAAAATTTATAATATGTCCTCAACGAGTGTAGACGAGTTTATGTCACAATTTAGATATACGAAGTAATCCCTCGACTCATACACTGTACTATTTATATAAAGACTTGTCTTTCGCCGCCAGATACACTATTTATGTAAAGACTTGTCTTTCGCCGCCAGAGACTGGAGAACTATAGAGAGAGTTCGATACGGCTATCCATCCAACTGAGCTCTTGACATCACGCAAACCTACATGTTTATTTCATGATCCAAAATAAGTTCAAGGGCATTATAGTCATTTAGGGGTACCTGTTGCATCATAATTATAGTTGTTTAGGAAAGGTGATTCCGCGCAGTCACTTTCATTCTTTATGAAATCACGCAAAACATCCCTGTAGTTCCATCTCTATTTGCAAACCTTCCACAAAAAGAAAACAAAAATTAATAACCACTATCTTATCAACCGAGTGAGAACGAGAGAGAGAGAGAGAGAGAGAGAGAGAGAGGGAGAGATACTCAGATATGGAGAAGATACTGCATAAAAATCTGTATGTAAATGGAATAAACATGCACATAGCAGAGATAGGTGAAGGCCCAGCTGTCTTGTTCCTCCATGGCTTCCCTGAACTTTGGTACTCATGGCGCCACCAGATGCTCTCTCTATCTTCCAAAGGCTATCGGACCATCGCCCCGGACCTCCGTGGCTACGGCGACACCGACGTCCCGCCTTACGCCACCAGCTACACCGCCTTCCACATAGTGGGGGATCTGGTGGCCTTGCTTGACGCCCTGGGGCTGGACCAAGCGTTCCTGGTCGGTCATGATTGGGGCGCAGTCATGGCCTGGTACTTCTGCTTGTTCCGGCCTGATCGGATTAAGGCCTTGGTTAACACAAGCGTTGTGTTCCACCCTAGGAGTCCTTCTAGGAAGCCAGTACCTTCGCTGAGAGCTCGCTTTGGTGATGATTACTATATCTGCAGATTTCAGGTAATTTTTACTTGATTGATGCATAATAATATAGTAGATTCGAACGCTGTTGCTATACTCGTTTAATTTTGTCACTGGATATTTGAATTTGTGGCTTAATATTTCTTCTTCTTCCTCTTATTTTCCCTTTCTATTATTGCTTTCGTTCGAAACCGTTTAAGAGAGAAACAGGATTGGCGAAAGAAAAAGGAAGAAATTGAATTAGGAATAGATTCCTCGCATTTGCCGGGATGAAAAAGGTTACTTAATTAATGCATTTCCTGTCTTGTAGTTGTTGATTACTTTTTACTGTTCACATGGTGGATGAATTATTACCTATGGACATAGTTTGAGTAATTGCATTAAATGAACAATGGTCCAACTTAGCTACACTGTCAACACTTTGGTGCTCTTCTGTAAGTTAGTTTTTGGTGATGGTCCGTCTAAATTTAGATCTTTTTTTTGTCCGATTCAATTTTATTTCCAAGAAGCTAGTGTGGGGCTATAGTTTCCAACTTTATTTTGAAACGTGTCTCATTTGGAGTTGAATTGCTGTCCATTTGGTAGAATTTAATGTGCATTTGTGATGTTTGATCATGGACCCTAGCATGGCAATTCAAAATTTGACCATTTAGCTGGTTACGATTTTGCATGAGTTGATGTTTATTTTACTTACAATAACAGACGCTAGCTGGTGCAAATGTTTATTGTAGAGACCATCAGTATTTCTTGTATCTCCTGCCCAAAAATTTTAGTTACCATTGCATGTTCGTAGTCGAACAGCTATAAGGGACACCAATGTTTTATGGGACGAAATGTTGGGCAACTAGAAACAATATAGTGACAAAATGAGAGTAGCGGAAATGAGAATGTTGAGGTGGATGTGTAGAAAAACTAGAAATGATAAAATACAAAATGACCGTATTAGAGAAATGGTAGGAGTAGTTTCAATTGAGGATAAGTTTAGAGATAATAGATTAAGATGGTTTGCTCATGTTCAATGGAGGGCGATATAGACATCGATTAGAAAAAGTGAAAGAATTTCTCTTAATGGTATTAGGAGTAGAGGTAGACCTAAATTAACATTGAACGAAATAATAAGAAAATATATAAAAATACTTAATTTAAATGAGCGTAGAGCGCATGACCGACATGACCGAAATGAATGGCGAAGATGGACTCATATAGGTGACTCCAAATGATTGAGACTTGGTTGGTTGGTTAGTTGGCATCTTTGTAACTGACTCCCCCACCTATTTTGTCCCCAATGCATGACTATATGCATAGCACAATAATTTAACTCTACAAGGTGGTCTTTTTCCCTTCCAGTAAGTTAGATGCTACCATTATAAGTTGTGGTCCTTGTAATACTGATCAATATGCAGACTCATTTTATTGGTCCGCTTCATCCAAATAAGATGATCTACAAATACATTATTGCTGTATTCTTTCAATTGATTTTGTTGTGTGAGTGGTACAGTTTTAGGTAACGGAGTCCAGCCTATTGTTGCATTGAGAATATAGTGGGATGTTTACTCAATACCATTGTGGTCAGGTGTTCTCTTCTGTAGTTGCTGGCTAGGCAAAGTTTACTAACCTCTTCTTTGTAGGAACCTGGAGAGGCAGAAGAAGAGTTTGCCCGTGTTGATACTGCAAGGCTAATAAAGAAATTTCTGATATGTCGCCAGGCAGGCCCACTTTGTGTACCTAAAGAAGTAGGATTTGGGGGTTCACCTGATACTATAATTACACTGCCCTCTTGGTTGTCAGAAGAAGATGTCAACGTTTATGCCACCAAATTTGAACAGACTGGCTTCACCGGTGGATTGAACTACTATCGAGCTATGGACCTGTAAGTTGGCCTTGACTTGTTATCTCAGATAAGTTACATGGATTCTAAGAGAGAATTTTTACACTCATACTTAATCATGTTTCTATGAGAATGCTGTTATTGCCTATTCTGACTCTCAGAATCTGATGCATCTTAATGCTATGTATCTTTACTCGATAGATTACTTGAGCCTAGCATCTGGGATCTGCATGTTCATAACTCACTGATGACTGATACGAAGCAATGATATTGATCGACGTACTCATTTAACATGTGTATCTATGTATTGTCTAATTATTGATTTCACTTGAGCAGTCAACAACACATATGATACTTCCTGTGAGGTTGTGAGTTGGATATGCTTCAGATTTGTAATCAGCATTAAAGATATTGAAGGGGGAATTCTACAAGCTAGATAATTGTTTTCATTCCCACTTTTGCAGAAACTGGGAGCTCACAGCACCATGGACTGGGGTTCAAATAAAGGTGCCAGTTAAGTTTATTGTGGGTGACCTGGACCTGACCTACAATACTGCTGGTGTCAAGGAATATATACACAGTGGCACCTTCAAAAAATTTGTGCCATTTTTGCAGGAAGTAGTTGTAATGGAAGGAGTAGCTCACTTTATCCAACAAGAAAAACCTGAGGAAGTCAGCCAACACATCTTTGACTTCATCCAGAAGTTCTGATTTACATGGAGTATTCAACATCCCCCATGTTTCTGTAAGTTTAAGTGAATGTTCCTTAAAATGTTTACAATAAGATTTGCTCCTCTAAAAAGCAATAGGAGGATGTCATGAGGCTTATGTTTTGTCATCCAACCTCTAGTTGTGTCTACTTTTCTCTGACATTGAACACAATATAACTGCAAAGCATAGCTGAAATTATGAGTAAAATTGTTCTCTTCCCCTATGGTTGTTAGGGGGGTCATATTAGGACTGTTGGACTTTGGCATAAGAATGAGTTGGTTTAGGATTGGACCAGTATAGAGTGATGGCCACTCCTAATGAGGCCGCACTCATTATTTTGCTGGGAAAAAGGATACTGTATAAGAGCAAAAGAGAGTTTCATTAAAAAATAATAATTAATTTTTTATGTTTTTGGCTTTGGAACAGGTGCAGATAAAAACCAAAAGTAAATTGAAAATCTGGGATAGAGGAGAATTGAGAAATTTTAGTTATGTCAGCGAAATTTGATTAACCAACAATCAACTCCTTCTCCTTGCATTTAAAGGGATTGTCTACGATTCTTAAAAACACTGGGTTCACAATGTAATAAACAAAAACTATCACTTGAGTCGGTGGTCTAGTGGTAAGTCTCATACCTTTTTTATGATCGTTCCTTACTTTCATGTGGTTATCAAGTAGGATTTATGTGGTTATTAAGTAGGGTTCGTTTCACGGAAACAATACGATTTTTTGCTTAGTTTTGGTGGTGCTATTGTGAGGGACTGTCTTTTTAGATTAATAATTATGATTTAAATCGAACATTTCAACAGTAGGGGGGGATTTTTATGGTCATGCCCAAAAAGAGTTATTACATGCTCGTCGCTTCTTTGTATCGTTGCTCTATCAGAGAACTTGAAAGAGTGTTGGAGCATTATGTCATAATGAGATTACTTTGAGTCCCGCACAGATATCAAAGTTTCTTTCTCCGAGTTATTTCATTGATAAGTGCTTTCAACTGTCTAGAGATTGTGGAAAACCATACAAAAACATGAGAATCATATGGATATTTTCTGGCAAACATGCAAGTAAACTCTATTCTATCCCCTCTTATAAATATTCATTGTAGGACCATATATGACGTCACCTTTACATTAAGATATATATACTCGTGAAATGGTCCAAGGGGCAAACCAATTTGTTACGGTTTCCCTTCCCCATCGCTGTTTCACTAAATGGAAGGCCTAAAAGGGTATCATGTGTCGTTGTTTTTTCTTTGAGATAAGATGGAGAAAGAGAAGACAACCAAAGTTGACTGATAGAATCACATGATAACTTTAATGTCCTAAGGTTTAATCTAAACATCATTGTGACAAATCAGCGCAGATTGAATCAGCGGTCGGACAAAACGTTCCGTGTTTGAATTCCCTTGGTCCTATAAAATTGAGTTATAAATAATAAATGTAATTTGCCCATGATTATAAGCATTTGAGATTTTTTTAAAAAAAAAAAATCAAAATCAAAATTCCATCTCAAAAGATTCTAAATCTTAAAAGAGTGGTGTCAAGCATTAAAGCTAGATCCAAGCGAAAGTTACTCCGCTCTTGGTGTGGACCACGTTACAAGTTTGCATAAGCCAAAAGAAACGACAAATCTCATGTAGACAAACTACCTTGAAATCAATCCCAACTTTAACCCTAACCAAAACACCAAGCTCTTGTTTAACGGCTATATAATGCTCTAAAATCATTATTTTCACAGAATACTTGTCTTGAAGGCATAATAAAAGCTTTTTAATGCTAATGCAATCCAACTCGTGGGAGACATAAATCTAATTTTCCTTAAAGAAAGGCAAAGAGATTGTGACAACACATGTACTTTAACATGGATCTAGATCATATTTATTACACTTTCACTCAATTTCATTGAATGATAGATTATCAATCGTGTTTGCATAAGGGATTTATAAATAAATAATGGGTTCCATGTGAATACATGGTGGGTGGTCTACCCTTAATTGAAATTGTGTGAAAAAATAATGGAAAATATCTCAATCCCCAAGCAATGCTATTGGGACCTAAAAATATGACATAATTTACTGATCTAATTCACTGTGATATTTGGATTGACTGCAGATCCCATCAAATATTGAAATTTGGTGTTGATCCAACGATTCCTATTAAACCACATTATTATGTCAACAAATTAGGTCAAATTTTTAGATTCAAATAGCATTACTCATCCCTTTAACACCAATGGAATCAGTATTTCAAAGGGTAACGGCTAGAGGGTCGAATACGACTAAATTATATGGATGGTAATTTAATATCATGTTTCGATCATATTATAGGGTCCTGATCATAAGTTAATACTTTAGGGTCTGATGCTACAGTTACAAATAACATCACATGCATGACACAAACAAATCCAATGTGATTAAGTGATACAAAATTTATCTTGATTGGTATCGTAATTGAAAATGATAAAGAGTACCATTGATTCTATATTGGAGGAAATTGGATGTACGAGTTTTTTTTTATATTATTTTTAACTTTATACCATACATCACTGACTAATCCAAACATGGGATTGATATTATGTCAATAGAATCATATCTTATCTTAACTCTGATCTATATTAGGTACCGAAGATAAGATAAAATCATAACTTATCCTCTAAATTTAATACTATGGTACTAGAATTATGTTTAGGGATGGCAATGAACCAGGGTGGAGGTGGGTGGAGTATTCTCCACCCCCGTCATGTTTTAAAAATATTCGTTCATCCCTTGGTTGACCTTGTCATCGGGGAAAAATTTTATCCCTATCTCCTTCCTGTAGGTAAATTTTGATACTCGTCTCTGCTCTGCTATCGTCCCTGCCCATAACAATTAATTTCTATGTTTTTTTAATAAAAATCCATAAAACCTCACAAATAGATTTGTAAGGAGGATGAAAACTTATTATATAACAAATAGATTAAACATAAAAACTTACAAAAATAATATGTATAACAAGCGTGTTTATACATTTTACGGATTGGGCGGGGCGGGGCGGGGCGGAGATGAGTTGCAATCCATCTCCGTTAAATACGTATGGTCCATCTCCGATTTATAAAAAATGAGTTCGGGCGAATGTTCATTTTTTCCTGATACACTGTCGTCTCTATTCATATCTTATACTACTTAATCATCAACGGATTTCTTCACCGACGCTCTCTCTGTTGATCTATTTCATCAACTTGCAGGTCATGAACGAATGAATGGCGCGTGCCTTTCATTTGGCAAACGAATAGAAACATTTGGACAAAAAGTACGTAGATTTCTAACAAGCGAACTTCTAAAGATTCAAAGTCAAGACCAGCAAGAAGTGTGGTAGGTAATTTAAAGTTACGCGTAAAGACTTTAGACTTTGCTGCTTCTTATGACCGATGATTCATAAAAGCCGATCTAGCCTCCATGTCGTTTGTCTTTGTTCACAAATTACAGGCGACTTGGAACGTTTTGTATACGATAAACGCACAATAAGATTGGAAAATTTTCATTTTTGATATGCAATGATTAATCAATTATTATTAATTTCATATATCACTACTGTGTAGGAGTGTCAAAATTTGATACGATTTGTTAATACGACACAAAGTTAAAGGGTTTAAATATTCTTAAAGTCACCCGTTTCGTAAACGAGTGGACCGACCCGTGTTGAGAAGGAAAGGTCAATGATATCAGACCATTCATTGATAAATATATTGTATTAGTTGTATATTTGTTAAGTTGCCTTTTATACTTAGACTACCTAAAATAGATTAGCATGATTGTAGGAAATCTCTTGTATAAAGCTACGTCTCTTGATTCAATAAAATTATTAAAAAGACAAATATTATTTTCCTTCTTTACATGGTATAAGAGTAGGGAACGATACCCTAGCTCTCTGCCCTCTTTTTTGCCTTTCTCTTTTTCGTTGTTATTATGACGGAACAACAACCTTCGAATGGAGGCAAGCTTGATGCTGCCAATCCATATTTTCTTCACCATTCTGATCATCCAGGAATGGTGCTTGTTTCCAAGCCCCTCAATGGGGATAATTATTCGACATGGTGTAGAGCCATGACGATTTCTTTGAACGCCAAATCTAAGTTTGGTTTCATAGATGGGACCACCGCAATGCCATCTGCCACAGCCAAACCAGACGAATATGCTTCGTGGAAAAAATGCAACGATATGATCCTCTCTTGGATCCTCAATTTACTCACACAGGACCTTGCAGACAGTGTCATTTTTTCAACCACCGCCCAGGAGGTATAGGAAGACCTTCGGGATCGTTTTTCTCAAAGCAATGCCCCTCGTATTTTTCAGATTGAGAGGGACATTGCTTGTCTTGCTCAAGATCAGATGACTGTTGCAGCTTATTACACAAGGCTAAAAAAATTATGGGATGAACTAGGATCCTATAATGACACCGTTTGCTCTTGTGGGGCAGACAATAAGAGACGCAGATTGGTGCAATTTCTCATGGGACTCAATGAGTCCTACAGTGCAATCCGAGGGCAAATTCTGTTGATGAATCCGCTACCTGATGTTGCCAAGGCTTACTCTTCCATTGTACAAGAGGAGAAGCAGCGAAGTCTAGGGGCTGCACGTGAGACGACGAAGAACTCAGCCATGGTTGTTCGAAGGGCTGAACCGGTGGCTCTGGCTGTTCGAGATGGACAAGGTTCTTCTTCTCATTCCAACACATCTAATTGAAAACCTTTGCATTGCTCTTATTGTGACCATGACCATCATGTACGAGAAACATGCTGGAAGTTGAATGGGTATCCACCAAAACACCCTAAACATGCATCAAACTTGTCTAATCAAGGAAACACTCATTTCAAGCGCAACCATAGCCATCAATCTTCAGCCAACAATGTAAAGGAAAGTCCAATAATGCAGGAAGTGTCGTCGGTGAAAAATGAGCTCTCTGATTTGCAAATCCAGCAAATCTTATCTATCATGCAGGGTAAAGGGACAACACAATCCACCAGTCCTAAAGCTAATGCTGCTGCCTCAGGTTTGTTACAAACATTGTTGCGCCTCCATCGATTAATTATCGACAGTGGTGCAACAGACCACATTACTTCATCTCCAACTTTGCTTGTCAACAGCAGTAAGAACACCTTTTTGCCACCAGTTGCTATGCCAAGTGGAGAACAGGCTCCGATTACATCATTGGGAATTTACCTTTGAATTCTGTTGTTACTTTAAAAAATGTGCTTGGTGTGCCATCTTTTAAGGTGGATTTAATGTCTGTGAGTCGAGTTACCAGAGATCTCAATTGTTCAGTAACCTTTTTCCCTCATTGGTGTATTTTGCAGGACTTGACGACGAGGATGACGATTGGTTTGGGTGA